AGCGTCCAGGAGGAAGGCGCCTCAGGCTAGTGATAAGGTAGCACACCGCGCCACACTCCTGGAGCCAGGCAGGGATAGTCTCTGAGATTTGGTGACCACAGAGACCAGGGAAAGAAGTGGGGAGATTGTCTCCAGGTTCTGGTCAGTGCGGGATAGTGCTGGACGAGATTCCAGGCCCACCTGTTATGTTTTCCCCAGTACTGGCCTTGTGCTTCCCACCCCTATCTAACAATCGAGACTCCTGGTGAATGCCTGAAACTTAGATAAAGTTGAACTTTAAGTTGAATGGTAAGCGTAAGGTGCTGTTTGTTTACATACATGTAAGGGAAGAGCTTTCTTGAGCCCCTTTGAACGGCCAGCATCTCTCCTCTTGTGCTTTGGGTAAGTAAAACAAGGATTATTTGAACTCACCACTGCAATGCCACGGCAGCCACTCTGATGGCTACTCAGTGACTCGAGGGAGGGAAGGAAGTGTGTGTGGCATGGGTAAGCTAGCCAGAGAGATGGTCTGTGCCGCGGGCAGGACAGAGAAGGGTGGTGTAAAATGCAAAGAAAAACCTATGAATTGTCTACTTTTGGAATATTCCTTTTAACCATTTTTTTTGGTCACATTTGTCTGAACATAGCTGAAGACATGGAAATGGATGGGAGGGGGTGGCGTTGCACGGTAGTGCTCATCCTCACTGATTTTTAGGAGGGCATTAGATGTGCTCACGGGCAGTATCCGTAACCCAGAAAAGCCGGTCCCCACTTTTCCATTAACACTCCCGGTTCCAGTGCATTTTCTACCAGTGTCATTGTTTTCTGCAATTTACATTTAGTCAGTGGTTTTTTTTGTTTGTTTGTTTGTTTTTATCACTCATTTTCAAATTTCAGTTCTAATTTAAGTTTGCTTGGTACAGCTGCTTTTAGAGAATCCTCATTACAAGTGGGGAGAAATATTCCGCTGTAAAGTTCGTTCAGCCCGGAGTCCAGCTTGTGGGCCACTGGGTTTCCCAATATTCCCATCTCACATTCTTTCTCGTAGCCTCTCTTCACAAGCCTCTCTGGCAGGGTTCCCGTGATTGAGAAGGGCTGGCCATAAAGCCAGTAATTGAATTGCGGCCCTTGTTAGTTAATGGGGGTCAAGGCATCGGATCGAAATAATGCAACTTGGTGTGTTACTCAGAGATTCCAGGAAAGCTTTTATTTTTTCCTGTGATTTTCACTTTCCACCCTAAAGCGGTGAACAGCAGTGGCCTTGTTCAGCTCGCTCAAACAGCGCATCGTTCATCTTCTAAAGCTACGCCCTCTACTGGCGTCACTACAGAAGACTTTTAGAAAGTGCCCAGGCTGTTGCAAGTGTGCTCTGGAGTCTGAATCTAAATTTACGTATCTTTTAAAGTAAATACTTGACTAGTGTTGTAAAGACGTAAGCATCTTCAATCTAGAAAACAACTGTTAGGCAGTGCCTGATGGTACTTCTTAGGTGGCTGAGGCAGGAGGATGGCTGTTCATAGATAAACTTAGTGAGACCCTGTCTCAAAATAAATGGTAATAAAACAAATAGCAGCAAAACAGTATCAGTTGTGTGTGTGTGGGGGGGGTACTGGGATAGAGTTCAATGGTGGAATGCTTGTCTAGTGTGTGTGAGGGAGGTTCTGATTTAATCACCAGTTAGAGCAAAGAAGAGAAAACTCCTACAGGCTGTCATGCTGATCTGCTACCTGACCAAGGAGGCTGTCAGAAAAACTGATACAGCTTTGTTTCAGGATAACCCTGAGAAAGCTTAAGTGTGCAGTTACACAGTTCTCACACTCATCAGGTACACAGATCTGTTTGTATTTCTGGAGTCTCGTTATGCTTTGGACATGTGGTGAGCCTTCAGCCCCGTGGAAGCACAGAACAAGCAATCTCCTTCACAGAGAAAGTGACTCCTGCAGTTGGCCTCAAAGAATTGGGTTTTCTATGCAGGGTATGTAGACCTATGGCCCCATTTCCCATGCCTCCCAGCTCGTACTGCATTGGGCCACCCCTGCAGCTGCACCAATGTATCCAGTTAAGGACTTCCCCAACTTTTGCCTGAAAGCTGAGACCGCTCACCTTGATTCACTGCCTCCCAGGCGGACTGTGTTCCCAGGTGCCCTGGGCTCGTGCCTAGTCCTTCTCACTGTTTTGAATTCCTCATGGGGCCTGCCCTGCTGCTTGCCCCCAGCGGAGGATCGCCGTTGACTTAATGAGTTGTTGATCGCTGACTCCTGTTTTATAGACGACAGCATGAGGCATAAGTTGCTGAGGTGACTTCCTGGAGGTTGTGTGACGGTAGTGGGTTTAGCATCTAGGCCTAGCCCCTGTGTCTTCTAACAAGCATTTTCAAATTACCCAACAGGCTTGCTTCTCTGTACCCCTTGAGCCCTGAGGGTCCCTTTACCACAGGGTTTGTCCTGAAATAAAATGGTCTTAGGGTGCCCTCTACTGGTGTCACTAACGTCAGCCAAGCTATAAGGCGGGAATCCTGCCTTCCCTTGTGTGACCATTATGTGACTCAGCCTGCAGTCAGTTCTTGCCTGTGAAGGGACTTGGATACTTAACTATCTGGTTCATTTAGGATCCCGAGGGATGGATATAAGCACACTCCCATGTTGCTGAGGATGGATGGATGATCTAATTACTCTTGGCCCCTTTCAGACAGTTACAGATGTCACCTCCAGTCTCAGGGAGAAGATTCAAGACTCTGCTCTTGTGACTTATTCAGATGCAACCCAGGGCTCCTCCCCAGCCCCATGCTCTCACTGGCTGCCCCCTCCATTAGAATTCCTCCCCACTGCAGAGGGTGCAGTAGGGCCAACAGTATTCCTATGGGTAAAGTGCCGACAGGCTGAGTCAGTGGGGGCTCCCTTAACCCAGGCTGAGTCAGTGGGGGCTCCCTTATCCCAGGCAGAGTCAGTGGGGGCTCCCTTATCCCAGGCAGAGTCAGTGGGGGCTTCCTTAACCCAGGCAGAGTCAGTGGGGACTCCCTTATCCCAGGCTGAGTCAGTGGGGGATCCCTTATCCCAGGCAGAGTCAGTGGGGGCTCCCTTAACCCAGGCTGAGTCAGTCAGTGGGGGCTCCCTTATCCCAGGCGGCATGGACCCTTTATCAGCTTTCCCCTGGCTCTCCCGACAATCCTCCCTCACTGGGCACCATGCAGGAACCAAAAGGAAAAGAAAGTGGTGAAGTGGTGTGCAGGAGCAGGTAAAACATGCTGCCCTTCACGTAAGATTAAGTTCAACTTGAAAGCGGTAAGCTAAATCAAACCTAACCTCAGGTTCTCCCTACAGTTTCCTCCTGCTGCCTTGACTGTATGTTGGAGGTAATGTCCTTGACTCACATCTAAAAGCAGCTGGGATTTGATTTGTCAAGGTCGGGAGGGACTGGGATTGGAGGCAGATGCCCAGGGTGCAGATCCCAGCTGCGTCCCTGTCTCCCTACGTGTTAGTTTAAAGCAACCTTCAGAGAGGTTGGCTCAGGACCGCCAGACAAATGCTTCACCTGTCCATGTGGCTCCGTCCAATTGTCTGTACAGCAGAGTTCCTTCTGATGGCCTCAAACTTGTAAAGACCTCAGCATGGAGCCTGTCTCTGTGCTTGACCTTCGTCAAAGGTCTAGAGACGGTACAAGCACTGTCTGAGCTGTGTTCTTTTGTAGTTTTATAATCTGTCACTCAGTTATTAATTCATTTATTGGGAACAGAATAGCCATGGCATTTAAGCCATTCTGTGAAGGCCAGGAAAGTCTGAGCCAGACTTGTCTGATGGCAAAGGTTAAAGATGCAGTGTTTTCACTTTGGGAAAATAGGTATTGCTGCAGAAAGGTGTGGGCAGGGGCAGTGGGCACGGGCAAGGGGGAACGGGCAAGGGGGAATGGGCACGGGCAAGGGGGAATGGGCACGGGCAAGGGGGAATTGGCACGGGCAAGGGGGAATGGGCAAGGGGGAATGGGCACGGGCAAGGGGGAATGGGCAAGGGGGAATGGGCACGGGCAAGGGGGAATGGGCACAGGCAAGGGGAATGGGCACGGGCAGGGGGAACGGGCAGGGGCAATGGGCACAGGCAGGGGGAATGGGCACGGGCAGGGGCAATGGGCACGGGCAGGGGCAATGGGCAGGGGCAATGGGGAATGGGCACGGGCAAGGGGGAATGGGCAGGGGCAATGGGCACAGACAAGGGCAATGGGCACAGACAAGGGCAATGGGCACAGACAAGGGCAATGGGCACAGACAAGGGCAATGGGCACGGGCAGGGGCAATGGGCACGGGTAGGGGCAATGGGCACGGGCAGGGGCAATGGGCACAGTTGTGTTATATAGGGGCTTGGATGTAAGAGGGAAGAAGGCATTTTATTCACATGTCTGTATCTGAGTGTCTGATACTCCCATGCGTTTCTTCACATCACTTGGAGGACAGGTAGAGCTTTCTGGGTGTCGTCTACACAGGGCCTTTCCTTGAGCTTTCCTGGCAAGGTGTGTTGGGCCACGAGTCCCTGTAACACCGTATGGCTCTCTCGCTGGGATTCTGAAGTATGTTATAGCCTTCCGTAGACACTTGACCTCTGTCAGATTTCCCAGGAGTCCGCAAACCCGGCTTCTTGTTCATTGCAGTGCTACCTTGCAGGCTGGTGTTTCAGCAGGCAAGCTTGGAAGTCACTGTGGGGTCAGTGTTTGATAATAAAAGATCCCTTCCAGTTCACACAGAGAACAACGTCTTGCCATTTCCGTCCAGCATTCTCTCAGGATTTCAGGAGTTTGTTGAATGTACATCCCTAGCTCTCTGTCTCATTCCTCATGTTAGGACTATATATATTTGCATTCCTTCCATTCTTGCTGTGATGAAAAGTAAATTTTAAAGTAATTCTGAATTCATCAGTCTTGTCCTGGGCCCTTCCTTTTTCTTCCATTATCAGTTGTTAGGTTGAACGATCAGCCTCTGTGGAGGCGCCTCCTTGGGGACAATGGTTAAATGCTGGCTTTGTTTTGTGCTGCAGGCAGTAGCTGCGACTACGGATCCAGATGTACACAGCAGATGTGACAGCCAGGCTGGCATCCTTGGAGATGAAGGTCTGGAGCTGGGACCTCCGGTCACAGGCGTGAATGGGGGTCTGAACCAGGCTGCCCACCCCAAGAACATGACAACAGCTCAGAATGGCCATGGGCAGGGTGCCACGGCCACTTGTTCAGCCTCCAACCTAAAGGCCCCCAAAATGGTGACATCCTCAGCATGTCAGAATGGAAGCTGCAAAAGCAGCCCAAGCAGCGACCCGGAAGCCGCGGAAACCAGGCTCAGCCCTTCCAAGCTGGTGCGTCTTTTCTCTGGGAATCGGAAGAGGATGAACGCCAACCCTGAGAGGCCCCGCTCGGTGGTCCTCGTGGGGAATTCTTCCACGTGGAATGCCCTGGCCTCCTTTCGTAAAATGGGATCTTTTAAAAGACTGAAATCCTCTGTCCTACAAGGAATTCAGAACCGGGAGGGGGCAGATGTTTCCAAGGAAGGGCCAGCAGGAGACCCGGGAAGGGCTGCTCCCAATGGCACCATAGGCATCCTGGGAAAGGGCCTGGGCAGGTGTCCATCCTTGGGGCCTGCAGGGGATGGGACCGGGTCCGACTGCTCGGACCCTGAGGACACAGAGGATGCCTTCCAGAGGAGCACGCACCGCTCACGCAGCATTCGCAGAGCCTATGGTCTGGGCCGCATCAGCCTGCTGGACCTGGGGCGGCAGGCAGCACCGGAGCCCACCCTGTGCGAGATCCATGTGAGCGACCCTGAGCCCATCCCTCTGCCGCGCAGAAGCAAGAGCATCGACAGCTTGAGCATCCTGAAGAGCTCCTTCAAGCGCAAGTCTGCGTCCAACCTCACGGAACTGACAGGCGACAGGCAGGTTCCCCCCAGGACCCTGAGCAGCTCATCCACTGACTCCGAGAAGCCAGGTGGCTCCCAGAGAAGGACCAGACGCTGGAGGAGCCCCATCAGGGCCAAGGACTTCGACAGGGTTTTAAGACTGGTGAGCACCGTCAAGGATGCAGCCTGGAAGAGGGAGGCCTCTAGGAGTATGGCTCCTAGCCCAGGCCCTGGCCCAGGGGATGTGAACCCGCCACTGGAGTCACGCAGCAGGCTCCATGATGACTACTCGCGCCGCACCAGCAGCAGCGCGGAGCCAGATGCCAGGCGTGGTGGCCCTTTATCCACACCCTGTATCCCTGCACCATGCGCGGCCACGCCCATCGTAGCTCAAGGACCCCACCTGGATGTAGACACGGCAGTCTTTCCCCTGGAAGCCAAAAGCGTGCAGGCCCTGGGGGATGATGAGCCTAGTGCCAGTAGCCCATCACCAAGTCTCACAGACCCAGAGGGGTCAAGCCAAGCCTCCAGTGAGGCAACTGCTGGCAGCCAGCTTCCCTTGGACCCTGTACAACTTCCCACCCCTCTGAGGCCCACCACGCCCAAGCCCCAAAGCCCTCAGAGCCCAGGGAGTACTAAATACCCCAGCCTAAGTGTGCTGTCCCTCAGCTCAGCAGACAGTGAAGAAAGGACTGAGGATGCTGCCCACAGGCAGCCAGAACCCGTGTCCCTCCAGGATGCCGGACGCACCGCGGCTGGTGGTGAGGGAGGAGAAAGTAGTGACAGCTGTTTGCCCGCGACTCTCGATGGGGCTGCCAATTCGGAAGAGAGGAAGGAGGAGGTAAGGGTCCAGGCCCCTCTGGTTGGTGCTGGTGTCAGAAGAGCTGCTTCTTGGTATTGCTTGGCCATTCTCCCAGGGATTTCCGAAGGCTGCTGGTTCTGTCTGTGTCGAGTAATCTCGTAGAATATTTGCCGAGATGGAAGTTGTTGAATTAATCTAGTTGTGGAGTACTTTATCATCTGTGTATTTTAAATTGGGTCCTTGCAGATGCAGCTCTTTGTGACAGGGAACATTACGTGTCTTGAGTCTTTTATTTCCTAGGAATGAATTAGAAATGCGCAGCTCGGTACCTGTCAAGCCCAGGATGATGCTTCTTCCAAGAGATTTTAATGATGGCCATTGTACGTATTTTTAGGGTAGAGCTCCAAGCAGCTCATGGATTGAGTCAGCACACAGCTGTCAGAGCTACAAGAGCAGTGTTCTTTTCACATCCTGTCAAGCATCCAGGCAATTTTTACTTCACTGTGCAAATCTTACTTTATAAGAACACTCAGTGATATTTCCTTACATAGCTAAAGACAGAAGTGTGTCTATATGTATATATTGTAAATTGTTCTTTGCACATGTTCCTAGACTATGCCACAGCTGTGAATTGGTGCTTGGGATAGGGAGTTACCCCTTAGGAAATGTTTTCTCCTGCTAGGTCCTGGAGAGGGCCAGCGGATAAATGGTTGCACAGCTAGTTGGGTTTGCAAGCAGAAGCCAGGGCAGCCTGTAGACTAGCTGTTATAAATTTACTGAGATGAGGTCTTGCTCCATAGCCCAGACTGGCCTCAAGGTCACAGCCCCAGGTGATACCACACTTCCATACCTGGCAAATACCTATTTTTGACCTTTGCTGTCCAGAGACATCTAGATCATAGGGCCTTCGGGAAAGGACCTAGAAAGTAAAATTACTGCAGAGTGCTTGGGGAAGAGCCAAACCAGATTTAAGGGTACCCCGTCAGCAGGAGTGTGGCTATTCACTCTCTAGGCCTGAGGGCCAGGTTGTCTGTCAGAGCTGTCCAGTACTGAAGATGATTTGCTCATCTGCATACTTAAAAAAGAAGTGTGGGTCCCTTGCAGGACACAGGCGGCCCTGGGAAGGAGTTCCAACTCTGCTGACTTTGGGTTGTTTTTTTTTTTTTTTTTTTTAATTAGGTAAAGGCTTTATTCAATCCTGAGCATGCTTGTCAGTATTGGATCTGTACCACAGAAGGCCCTGGCTTCTGGCTGCGTGTGTTTGCACACACATGTAATCTCAGTGCCTACAGAATGTTCTGGCCACTGGCTGTGTGTGGTTGCACACACGTGTAATCTTATTGCCCGGGAGATGGAGGGAGGAGGACTGTGACCCCGACACCGCTCTGCTGTGTAGCATGGCGGCCTCAACAGAGAGTAGTATCTTGTTGATGGTTGTGCTGGTTGAGACCAAAGATTTGGCAGTCCTATTGGACTCTGACAGGGGTTGCGTATCGTGTCAGAGACTGAGTACATCTCAAGATTGGAGGCAGAGAGAGAAGGGGTAAGTAAGACCACATAGTCCCCATCAAGGGCATTCCCCAAGTGACCTCAGGACTTCCCACTAGGGTCTCCTAATACTTTGACCCCAGAAACTGAGCTTTAGCTTTGGACCTTTAGAGGACATTGAACATCCAAATTGGCCTTTGTGAGACATCCTCAAGCAGACACTCCTGCCCCCATTTTCTGGAGGCCCACCACTCTAGTAAAGGATTTTCGTAAGTCTAGCAGGTTCTATATGTTAAAGGTAGGATTCTGGGGCTGAGGTAGATTGCTTCCTTCCTATGCTGAGTGTGATCTCCGGGACTATATAATCCCAGTGTGGTATCTCCTGCCCTGTAATCTCATCTCTTGAGAGGTAGAGACAGGAGAACCAGAAGCTTAAGGTAATCCTCAGTTACATTAAGCAAAGCAGAACAAAATACAAAATAATTTGGGGGAAACTTTAAATTTTTAAGTGTTTTAACCAGATTGCTATAAAAAGGAGCTGGGATCAGCAGGGGGCTGGAGGGGTGTTGGGCTATACTGCTGTCTTTTGCAAAACACAACCTCATCCTGCCACCTGGTGGTGAGTCTTGGTAAAGAACAGTGCTGGATTGGACATGACCCTAAAAATTATTCCTTCTTTTAAAAATGCCATTCAGAAGCTGAGTGTACTGACACAGATCTGTAACCCCAGAGGGGCAGAGGCAGGAGGATTTCGAGTTCAAGGCCAACCAGAGCTTCCTAGTAAGCTCTGTCTTAAAAAGACACACATAGACGTACACACAAGCACACGCACATTCAAGACCCAGGGCCGTCACTCTCTGGTAGAGTTCCTCCCCAGCACTTGGCAGACCGTGAGTTCCATCCTTGAACTTTGGAGATGGAGGCCTTCTGACATTTATTTGTTAACAGTGTTCCTCCTTCCCTAGAACGGTGCAGGATCCATAGTTCACGGTATTAGTATGGAATTTACAAAAGGAACACTGTATTTCTACCTGTCTGCAGAGTAGAACCGTTGACTATAAGTAATGAGCGCTCCAGCTCTGAGCCCTTTCCAGAGCTGGGGTGAATCTTTTGTAAATGCTTCTAGTTTGTGCCATTCAGGTATCTTGGCAAACCGGGGAATCTTGAACGTCTCTGGGTCTCTGTTGTCCCTAAGTATGGAGTGACCTGATAGAATTGCGGAAGCCACATAGTCTCTTATTTAAATGTTTACCTAACATCTCAACAGTTTCAAGATGATCATTTTAAGTATGTGTTTGTCATACATGTATGTATGAGACAACATGTATATCTGTGTACCCTGTATGTGTCTAGTGTCTGAGGAGGCCTAAGGAGAATATTGGATCTCCTGAAACGGGAGTTATGGATGGTTATGAGTTGCCATATGGATGCTGGGAATTGAACTGAGGTCCCCTGGTCCTCCAAAGAAGAAATAAATGCTCTTAACCACTGAGCCATCTCTCCAGCCACACTCCCTCAAATCTTTTGTATATAACACTGCATTATACTTTGACAAGAAGTTGAGAAATTCTTCCAATAATTAGATTGGTTGCACATTAGTATTTTTAATGAGTCAGCATCTAATTTAGTTCAGGCTGACCTTGAATTCACTATAAAACCTTGAACTTATTACCCTCCTGCTTCTGCCTCCCCAGTGCTGGGATGACAGTGGGAACCACTGTTCCTGTGTATGTGCTGCTAGTAACCAAAACTAACAGCTTCATTCATACGAGGCAAGCTCTCTGCTACCTGCCACCCCAGGCCTTTTATATCCTAACAGTGTGTTATTTCATTCAGTGACCTCATCAAACCCAGTGTGTTTTGAATCTACCAGGTGCAAGAGACTGAAGTCAGGTAAAGCCTGGTAAGGCATACAGACACCACTGAGGTTATGTGAGGATTATCTAGCATGGAATATATCCCACAAAAGACATAAAGACAATATAAAGAAGAGTCATGGTTCTCACACACTTGTGTGAAATTGGTCCCAGTAGTTGCAGATTTGATAAGGGTGACCACACTTGACTGACAGCAGTGGGGTTCCGGAAGGTGTAGTCGTCTGGGCATGTGATGCAGACCCCTGTTACTGTAAAGAGCGAGGAGGGGTGTCACTTGGTTTGATGTTGTAGAGCCATCCAGCCGCTGATGCCATAGTTGTGGTCAGGTCACCCACACTCCCAGCCCCCATGCAGAGACGCTGTTACCTGGTGAGTGCTGAGGAGCCAGGAACGTGTGAACAGAGAGACAAGCCAGGCTCCGAGCTCTGGAGATGAGATTTAGAAGGAAAAGCCCCAGAAGGAAAGTTGCCAGTTTATATAAAAATATCCTGAAGGTGGTAAGCTGAGGTTGAGAGTGGACAGGAACTAAGGTGCGCTGAGGTTAACCTGGGCCTGTCACACAAGCTGCTGTGTGGTTAGCCCGGGCTGACCAGTCCCTCCACACAGGCTGCTGCAAAGGTAGGTGGGCTCACACACCTGACTTCCTGTGTCTGTCAGAGGCTTGCTTGCGCCTGGCGGTGCCAGGTGGCTGAACTGCTGTGTGCTTGGGGAACTGCAGATGGGCTAACTTTTGTGCAGGTGGATGGGTGGAGAAATGACAGATAAGGTTGGTCAGTAGGTCTGGATGTGATTAGAGAGGACCTGGCTTGGAGCAATAGACGTGTCCCTTACCCTGCAGGCATTGAGGAGTCAGGAGACAGCAGGGGCAACTGTGGAGTCAGGCTTCACTGAACCAGCTTTGTAGAGAAGTGGTAGCCCTCCTGAGTCTAATCCTGCATGGAGGGGAGGAGGTCACAGACCGCAAAGTCATTTAGCAGTTTCTATGTGCAGCGAGTCTGTGTGAGTGTTTACGGGGACAGAGGGTCGGTGGCCCTTTGTGCCACAAGGGAAGTACTTTGTGTTGGCATGCCAGCCATCAAACAAGCCACGAACCTCGCAGACTGGGAAGCAAAAGGAAGGACCCCTTGAACACTAAGTACGCTGCTGCTAAGATAAAATGTCCCTCCCCCCGTAGAGCAGTAGAATCGTCCAGCAGGGAAACGGTGAATTCAAGCCAGCTTTCAGCGCTAATGAACGACTCTAGGGTCTTCTGATGCTGCTGCGGCTGCGCAGTTCAGCGGAGGTGCACGGAACCTGGCGAGTCCAGCAATGTTGCTTCTGGGAGATTTTGATGGCTTTGAAGTTATTTCACACAACCGTTCCTACAACCAGGAAAATGTTACATCCACAGAAATGAACGTAGCTGGGCATGCATGAAGCTCTCGGTTCATCCCCAGAGCCTGTAAACAGGCATGGAGGTGCACCACGAGGGAGGTGATCTGTTGCTGCTTACCGAGTTTAAGACCAGCCCGAACTACATACGACCCAATAAAGGGAAGAAAGGAAGGAAAGAAGGCAGGAAGGAAGCAAGCAAGGAAGCTGGCTAGTGAGATGGCTCAGCAGGCATTGGCACTTCTCACCAAACCTGACCACCTGAGTTCTACCCCCAGAATCCTCATGGTGGAAGGAGAGAAC